TGGATTAGACTCTTAGTCTGCCCTCAGTAAAATCCATTATACCTCTGAAAATAAGTCCTAACTCATTTTAATCCTATTGTTACGTACCATCAACACACTTCTGATTATGGCAATTCTAGGGATTATTTCTTACTTGGTGTTCTTTTTTTTCTGTCTTCAAAATTTCCCCATATAATGTGCTTTTTCCAGGGACTTCTGTCTTCCTAGAAAGTTCCTGAGGTTCGGTACCCTCAATTCAGCCATTTTTACAGCTATAGAAAGTTCAGACCTGACTTGATCTAGCGCCTACTTCTTGTCTTTCTCGCGGACCATAGATATAGAATACTCCACCAACACTGTGTTTCAAATACACTGATTGTTTTTCCTGACCTCTTGCTTCCGTGTCCAACTTTTACATTTCTTACCAAGGAGTGCATTTTGGATTTATTTTGGACCACAAATCCCATAAAATCCCACAAATCTCCTTACTAGGAGCTCCACCTGCAAGACCCAGAGCTTACACAACCCGTAAATTGTGCTCGCCTGGAGAGAAGGCCCATTTGGCAGGCTTTCTGCCTTGACACGCTTAACTTCCTGTTTGGAAAGGAAGCTGCGTAATGTTGGTTGGAAAGCTTCCTTTTCAAAAGGGCAGTTAAGCCGCTTTCCAGGGAAGGATAAAATGTCAGATTTCAACAGGGAGTTCTATGAAGCAACACCCTAGCTGCTTTTAACAGGCTACAGATGTTGCATATCCAATTACAGTGAAAATCCCATATTTAAATGTCAAGGAACTTGTGATTCTCTTGGGAGTGTCGCTATCATCATTGTTATCTACGTCGCTGCACCTGAAATGGTTGTCAGTGAACCAAAAGCAGAACACTTTTCTTCATCAACAGGGAGTTCTATGAAGCAACACCCTAGCTGCTTTTAACAGGCTACAGATGTTGCATATCCAATTACAGTGAAAATCCCATATTTAAATGTCAAGGAACTTGTGATTCTCTTGGGAGTGTCGCTATCATCATTGTTATCTACGTCGCTGCACCTGAAATGGTTGTCAGTGAACCAAAAGCAGAACACTTTTCTTCAACTTGGGACATTTTCATACATTAACCGGAAAATAGTACTGCCAATTTTTCATCCCTAATCATCCTGCAGGGAGTCAGTGGCTTTGCTTCATTGATGAACGTAACAAGGATTTGCGGTAACTGGAAGGCTATCGAGTTAACGATGGCAAGCACTTTTGGAAACAATTTCCACTATTCATTCTAATTACTCCCTCATAAATATATTAGTCTTTCAGTTGCCACAAGATTCTTATTTTATTTTTGGTGCATGAGTATAACTGGGGCTGCTTGTCTGGAAGTGGGTGAAATGAAACGCCACACACTAACACACATAGCTCCTGTACTAGCATCTTCACAGCACAGCTATTTGCTAATTACAGATTTAAATGTAATTTTCTATGAAAGGTTTGGCATGATATGTTGTTATTACAAACAGCAAATTATGTGTAACAGTGCCACCCGGCGCAGCGTGGCTTGTTGAGCAAGCCTTAAGGGGAGAAAAAAAATGGCTCCTCGCATGGATTGTTTGAAAGCCAGGAACACCCCAGCGAAATGCTGTGGTTTTAAGCCCCACATCTGAAACAAGCACCTATGAATCGCAAAAAAAGAGAGCGCAAGAGAGAGGGGAAAAAATCAAGTTATGTTTCTTCAGAAGCAAATACCGTGGTGTTCAGAGAGGCATGGTCCCTTGTGTTTGTGTTTAGAAATTGTAGCTTGAAGGCTGAACTAGATAATGTGATCCCTTCACAACTGCCAGGTAAGTAAGTGCTTTTTCTTCAAAGGCGGAAACTTCCAGCAAAGGGGAAACAAGTAGCTGTGTTATTTCAAAAAGTAAAGAACAATGTTTTCAAGACCAAGAGACATCACACTCGTCTCCATTTTTTTGCCTGCAAATTTTACACAGTTTTTGTGTGTGATAAAGTGGCCTAGAGAACTCAAAAAGTTTCCTCTGCTGCAACTCTCTAGTGATGTACAAGTGTACCTCGGTTTGCGAACACCCTCGGTTAACATAATTTTTGGTTTACGAAAGAAAATCCATGGAAATTAATGCCTCAGTTTGCGATTTTTTTTTTCTGCAATGCGAAGCACACTTTCCCCAGGATGCATGGCGCCTGGGAGGTTTATAGCGCCACCCCCAT